TTTTCAGTGTACTTCAAATTGAAAACAAGATTAAACACAAAGATCTATTTCACAAATAAAACATAATTTAGTAAACCAATTTAGTAAATTAAATCAATTCAGCAGTTTTGTAAAAAGGAAGTTATTCATTATCTGCCCTTACTGCCATCCTATCTCCCCCACCTCCCCCTTTCGCTTGACCTCCACATAAGGGTGTTTTTGCCCAATTTGGGAGCCATGCTTTAAAGTGTAATCCGTTTTCCTGTCAAAAAGTTGTACACCTTTCTGTGATGACGAACATAAATAAGAAAATAAACAAGGAAAAAGTGTATATAATGATGTGGAAAAAAGGAGGACCATGTTTAGTACAAAACAAACAACCAATTACCTGTACTTTTCACCAAAACTTATCTACATAATTCCAATATTACTACATATAAATCATTCACTCATAATTCACAATTCTTCACCTTCCTTCCTTGGTTTTCTTAACCTGGGAAGTCAAAATGAATACAGTGACATTGCACCCAATTAGGAGATTCGTCAAGGCTTATATCAGCAATCATAAATTTCATACCAAGGAAGTAGTATTTTTGCAATTTCTTGGAAGAAAGTAAAATACAAAATACAATCTGTTTAACAGAATCCAGATTATGAAGTATAAAAAAAAATAAGACATTAAACTGACCTACAAGTCTGTATTCACAGACTGACTCTACATTCCATGAGTATATACTTACATTTGAAATCATCTGAGACGTTGAATATTGGGCGTGACCACATGGATATGAGTCTTCCGCACCGACTCCTGATTGTCTTCAGTTCTTTAGGGTGCTTATACAGATACATAATGGCTTTCCCAATGCCTGAAGTCTTCAACATATCTTGTGATAGAGGTGGTAACTGCAAACATACAAAATTTGCCAATCAAAACATTGTCTTGAAAATAATGAAGTAAGAATAATGCTGATCATCTATGCATCACACACATCTGCATGTGTGTTCTATGGTTGTTGTGCATGGGTGAATGTGCATGGAAGTTTGTGCCTGCATGTGTGTGTGGATATGTATGCATCTGGGCATTTGCGTGTGGACATGTGTGAATCTGGGCGTGTGTGTGTGACCACAAGTATGTCGTACACCTGTTACATACCGATAGCAACCACTTAGTGACAGCCTCTCTGATCTTCACAGCAGGAAGGGATCGGTCAGGCATAGGAGCCAACCAGTCTGTCAGGGCTGAAAGCACATTGGCATCTAAAAAGCCTTCAATCAGGTTCGTTTTATTGATTTGGCTCATGGCAAGATCCAACATTGCAGACTTTTTGGTTGCTGGTTGCCGCCTGGCATTGAGCTGCCGGTCCTCATCAGCTGCTTCTCGCATCTGGAGGGAGAAGGAACAGCTATAGGAACAAATACAACAGGAATCAAAATATCTGAACATAAGAGCTGGTTATCTCTTTACAGCCATGAAGCTATTTCAAACAAGAGATCGGTAGTTAAGCTCTGCACCATTATGGATAAATGTATTAAAAAATAAATCAATCAATAAGTCATAATATTAAAAGACAGACTTTCAGCATTCAAAATAACTAATTTAGTTGTACCTAATCACTGACAGCAACAACATAACCCGATCATAATCAGAGAATCTTACTTTCCGAACAATAATGGCTATGTGTTCCTCATTGTCGTTAATAATGTCTACGTTATTCTTTCTTCTCCTGTGCCTTCCTGCCTCTTCCTTCTTCTTGGCCAACATGGCTTCGAAATCATTGACGAACTCTTCCTCGTGGTTTCTCAGCTGATTCCGAATGGCTTCATCTTCACTGTCTGACAGCTGGGGCAATGCCTGCTATAAAACAATAATGATAATCAATTAGCCTATAAACAAAGAGTATTAGCATGCAGATATAACTCCTGCATGTACATAAAAAACAACAAAAAAACACACAGACATAAAAATATATATACATTCAAAGATTTAATTATATATTAACTATGCATGAACAATAAGCTCAATGATTTTCTCACCTCAGTATTCTGTTCACTTTCTGGCTCTCTGTTGGGTGCTGGGCTCCCTGATCTACTGCCGCCTTCATCGTTTTCATTCACCTTAGCCTTCTTTGCAACGTTCTTCTACAGATAACAGGGAAGCATTATTGGCTGAAATTTTATTCCTACAGCTTCATGCTAGTACTTAAATCCTAAGCCTAAAAGCTGGTCAAAAGCATGCTAATTCTAAATAGCTATATTCCCAATGACCTACCCGCAAATATTACTTAGAGAAAAAAGAAGAGAAAAAGGTATCGTAAACCATCAACTGCTGTGGTTGTGGCTGATGATTAGTGGACTAGACAGTTCTCAAGACGTACTAGTCTATGGGAGAGTCCCTACAGCCTTTGAAAAACTAGCCAAAAATAACTGGAATAGCTGATGCCTCTCTCTCTCTCTCTCTCTTTCTCATCCACACCCACATCCACACACAGATGCTGTGTCATGAAAATCAACTATACAACAAGTTTTACTACCAACAAAAGCAACACAATCTTGGCCAACAACTCACATCATCTGGGCCTGAGTCACTGTCACTGCCACTAAGCACATTCTTCTTCTTTGCTTTAGGCTTTTTGCTAGATTTTGGAGCATCGTCGTCAGAGTCACTTCCTGCTCCGCTGCCACTCCCACTGCCACTCGTCTTCCTCTTGCGTTTGACCTTTGTAAGTTATAAATAACCTCAATTAGAAAAATACTGAAAAGTTGACAGCTGTTTAAGATGATCTAAAAATACAGGTCAAGATAAGAACCTAAATAATGACACGATCATATGCATAGCTATAAATCAATTCAACTGCAAAGTACAAACATGTTATATGACCAAAATCAGCTATGAAAGAGTTACACATGGGATCCCTGTCATTGGTTGCCATTATTAGTCATTTCACTTTTATATAAAAAGATGTCTTGAGGATACATCATTGATCACGATTCACTCTCAAATCATAGGGTTTTTCAGTTTATGCACAAATGTTTTCAAATACAGAAGAAGAAGAAAAAGATTCACTCTGAAATTATGAACAAGAACTACAGTTTACACAAGCAATACATGTCTAATTTTCGGAAAAAGTAGACATGATGGTGCCACCACATCAATGCGGTCATAGCCATCATTAACTTATTGATGGATGATGGCAGGAGCAAACCAACTGAAAGCTAAGCATCGACACATTGTGTTTATGCTAAGTGAGACGGAAATAATAAAAAGGAATAATAGCATCAAATCCACAGTGGATTTAGGGAACTGTCAGGCTTTTGATTTTTCAAATAACTTTAAATATCGGAATATATTGTTTAAAATCTCAGCATCCAACAAGCCCTTGGCGGAGTTCAATTGGAAAATTCACATAAATAAATATCTGACCTCTCACACCTCCCCAACAGATAGATAAATCTACTGGTAGGTGCATACAAACATTATTCAAGGAAATACAGAAATATAGTATCACTTACAATTCTAAGCTATCATAGACTAGATTTCACCTTTATCCAGTATATAAACACAATGAGTCCACAAAGATTCTAAGAGCAAAAACTGGAAAAAAAAAATTAACTTTCATTCTTTTTCTTAACCCATTGCCAACAGGTGGTATGTAAGTTCATGCCATGGCTCCTTTGGACCGAAAAATGGATGGCATCATATCATACCCATTCCTGCGTCTCTGGCTCGTCAGACGGTGTTTGTTTTTCTCCGATAGTAGCGGCTTCATTTATGTGGTAAAGATTTTAGGCAATGGCACCTATAATGAAGGTAAACCTATAATGAAGGTAAACCTTCAAAATTATGATATTTTTATAAATTATAGCAAAATAAAAGCTTTTAGGTGCCAAATGTCGCTTGCAAACTACTGATCACACCAGGTCCAAACGGGAAACTGCGAAAGCGCCCCAACAATCCCATTATTACATCCCCTTGCCAAACATTTTTACCCGTCGGCCCTGGGTTAATAGCATAATACTGAAAAAAGAATGCCCATCCACCTAAACTGCTCCACAGTTCTTGCTTAGCACAAAAACCAAGTGAAAATGATGAGATGGCTGACGATCCCCTCTCATCTACCTGTGCAAAGCCCAACCCTTGCTCATGATGCCTTTAAAACTCACTAGAGGTCACCCTTCCAAATTCATGTGTTGTGCCTAATAATTACATCACGTTCCAAAATAGCCCAAGTTTGCAGTTCTAGTTTGTATGAATTTTTCAAGGACAAAAATGAAGGTACTACTCTTTATGAGTAATGTTTTAAGAAAATACATATATACTATATGCCTGAGTAGTTAACTAAATATTACAGTCCCTTTTATACCCTTTTATTACGTATTCTATGGAATACTGTGTATCACATCTTGAAATTATAAGTCAATTTTTTCTGATCCCTATTTACAACATATGACAAGGAACCACTACCAAATTGTACTCAAAATAATTAAAAAAAAAGTAAAACACTGATGATAATGTTTATAATCAAGGTGATTCAAACATTAAACACAAGTGAGCTCTATACATTTTAGCTATGCATGAGAATATTTAACAAGCATCTAGGATAGTGCACTTACTTTCTTTCGCCTCCCTTTCTCAGACCCTGAGTCAGAATCAGAATCTGATAGCACCCTCCTGCGCTTTTTGGGGGATCCTGTATCGGACCCACTTCCTGATCTCGATCTAGAACGGCTGCTGCCACTTCTGCAAGGAAAAAGTGTGAAAATTGGTGCTGCATAACCAAATTTCTTTATATTCATTACCCAGTAAAACCTAACATGAACTGTAACTAATTTCTTTCCAAAATCAATTCCATGATTTTGAACACTCTAAAAACTATTCTCTAAGCAACAGGTGTGGCAGAATTAAACTCCAATTGTTCATTGCAAAATCATAACTAAGCATATAATACCTTGCCCTGCTCCTTGATCGTGACCGGCTTCCTGATTTACTTCTTGATCTTGATCGTGACCTTGATCTGCTGCCTGACTTGGCTCTTGACCCTGACCTGGACCTACTTCCAGACTTGCTTCTTGATCTCGACCTGCTTCCAGATTTTCCTCTTGATCGTGATCGTGATCGTGATCGTGAGCGTGAGCGCGAGCTTCCAGATTTGCTCCTGGATCGGGATCTGCTTCCAGACTTGCCTCTGGAGCGTGATCGAGACCGACTGCCGGACTTGCTTCTGGACTTTGATCGTGACCTGCTTCTAGACTTTGATCGTGACCTGCTTCTAGACCTTGATGCACTTCCTGACTTGCTTCTGGAGCGTGACCTACTTCCTGATCGGGATCTGCTCTTTGATTTCCTTTTTGCGGGCGAGCCACTGCCAGACCGACTGCCCGACTTACTACGAGAACGAGACCTAGAACCACTAGCAGCTCTACTTCCCGATCTTGACCTACTTCTTGAGCCACTTCTTGATTTACTGCGAGACCTACTACGGGACCTACTGCCTGCTCGACTTCCCGATTTACTCCGTGATCGAGATCGGCTTCTTGAGCCACTGCCAGCTCTGCTTCCAGACTTACTACGGGAACGGGATCTACTACTAGCACGACTTCCTGACTTGCTCCGAGAACCAGAGCGAGATCGGCTGCGGGAGCCACTGCCAGCTCTGCTTCCAGACTTGCTACGTGAACGTGACCTACTACGCGAACGACTTCCCCCTTTCTTTCCACCCTCTCCTTCGGAGTCTGAGCCGCCAAAGACTTCATTAGTAATTTGCTGTTTCTGGTCATCACTTCCTGCTGGAGACTTGGGACCATTCTTTCCTGGACTCGCTTCCTCATCATCGCTATCCATAACAGAGCGCCTCTCTTCTACCTCACTGTCACTTCCTCCACCAGATCTAGAAAGATTTATACAGTTAATATATGCTATATATTAAAAAAAAAGGTTGCATAAATACACTCTGAAGACTAGAAATAAAAAATTCAAGATCTACTAAAATGAAACCTTTCAACTAAACTATTAACCCAGTAACTTTTTATTTTTATTTATTTATTTTTATTTTTTTATGAACTTGATCATTACAACAACTTTTCATCAAAAATAACAGCAAAGTAAACACCTTTGATCAGCTTCATCGTCAGTGTTGTTTCCACGGCTACTGGCACTCGATCTGCGTGAGGCTCTTGATGAGGCTCGTGATGCCCTTGAGGCCCTAGATGCCCGAGACGCCCTAGACGTCCGTGATGCAGCAGATTTAACTGACTCATTATCCGAGTCGGGCCTAGCAGCAGCGGGACTTCCTCCTTCGTCCTCTGCAATGGAAGATTTTTTATCTTTATCCTGTCTCACATGGTCCTTTCAAATTTGCCTTCCATATGGCTTACAATGAGATGAAGATTATCATATGAGAGACAGAGTATACAACTGTCCCATTCCACATGCATTCCTCTTTTGCTTAGATATACTCCTGTGAAAAAAGTGTATGTACATGTTACATTTCATACAACAATATAAATAAAATTAGGGACTTTGTTTATTAGCTAATACGTCAGTGGATTCATCTGTGCTGGAAGCAAGTAACATTTAAAAAGACAAAATTAATTTTCATCTTCCACCTCAAGTTATATGATATCTATAAAAAGATCAATAATACAGTTTGTACACTTCAAAATCTTTGTAGTTTGTACCAATGCCAGCTTTCTTTACCAAACTAAAAGCAAACACACAGACACACGCACACAAAGGAAAAAAAATGAGCAGTGTCCATCATAAATATAATTCAAAATAGGCAAGATATATCAATGGAAATTTTAAAAGCAAAAAAAGTAAGTGAGCAGCTCGTGAAAATATCAATATTTCTATATACACATCCTTAAGCACCGGCCTCCACCCATCCACCAACACACCCATTACAACTATCACTATTACTAACCTACTCTTACTTTTCTTTATGAATGTTGGAGGAAAAATGTCTATTTTCTTCAGCTAACAATATGGGCAAAATCTGACTTACTTATCTCTATATACTTTTTTAAAAATCCTGCAATTCTCTGCACAATAAAGTTTCAAATATTTATTTCTCTATATCATATCTTACCACTTTTCTCAAACAGTATTGGCATTTAATTATTTGCAAAATCATAAATACATAAAATTCTACTTGAATATGCTCAACCCACTCATAATGGATGAGTACCATTCATGTCATGGATTAACTTTTACTTAAGCTGTCAAAGTCCTATAACATCAAGCATGATCAAAGCCAGAGTAGTAACTAAGAAGAAACAGCCTCTTCAAAGTAGACTTTACACTTACTTTTAGCCTTATTACCTAAACAACTATCTATGCCACAGCCAAGAGGTTTAATGATTGTTCCATGTGCTTCTGATTCCACTTACAAGCACCTGACTGTGTGCACTGCTCAGTGTACAGCTTGTTATGAGGTCAGAAGATCCCATCAGGAGTGGATTCGATTTTTTAATTCAAGTTACCTGAACAAAGTATATAATAACTAGCATAAAGGATTTACTTTTTTCATTTCTATGATTTTGGTTTTGGATATATATATCACAACCACAGTAAAGAGAATATGACCATTCTGTTTCCAAAACTTCTAATCAATTTACCATCAATTAATCAGCAAGTAAGGAATCAGTCTCACCTCTACCATAAGTGGAGGAGCTTATTGTTCTTTGCTTATGGATGAGAATGGAGGGAAGGGTTGGGAGGGGCAATAGTTGAGAATTTAGCATTACTGAAATGGCAGACTTAGTTATGGTAGGGCAATGGGTATCTGTACTAAGTATTTTATCAACAATACTTTCTTCAAGCAAATGATATAAACCTATTGTAGACTGGTGGAGAAATTGAGCAGGGATTCACTATAAGGATTGGGAAGATCTTAATTTGGTGATTCTTGGAAATCTGATAAGGATTAAATGGAAATGAGCATCTACTACAAATATGATTCAAGATACAACTTTTAGCAGGCAGTTATCAGTTTACCTCACGTACTTTCAAAAATGGTTTTAACGTTCTAGCCAGCATTTTAACTGCAATTCAGTAAATTTTGAGATTAATCTGACCCTATGGGGTGGGGAAACTTTTAAAACTACTGTTTTGAGACTGCAATAAAGGTAAAAAATATTTAAAAGTTATAGCAATTGTTTTATATAAAGAACAAGAAGAAATTGTATATATGCATATAATGTAGACTGTCCAGATGCAATAGCTTCAATCCTTGAAAAAGAATAGTAGCAAGAACAGTTCCTCATAAGAATAGAAGAGATAAGCCATGCCAATATCACACAAATAAAAGACTCTAAAACAATTTCTAGAGTTCTTCACACACTATAACTCTTCTCAGAGTAAGATTATAATAGGGTAATATGAGAACCATCAGTGTCATCTGAAAGCCACCATAACAGTAGCAAAGCTTAGTCAACATATGCTAGATCCAACAGCTGGAGATGACGGGAGGTATCCTGTCATGGCTGTGTCCCCTAAAACCACCTTAAGGCGTGGTTCAACTGGTCTTGTGTACGACTAGGAACTGACGTGTCCAAGTGCCCAGCCAGACGTAGTGTTTCAATCGAATTATGAAAAGTACTGATGTAATAGACCGAGCAAAATGGAGCAAAAGGATTTATTCCCTATTTCACATAGTTTTGTGTTTTATGGCATACATTTTTTGAAGAAAGAAGCACAGAAACCAATTTACAGATTTAAAATCATTAATGCTAGCCTGACGGGCCACGGACGTGAGTGTAGATCCTCTGTTTTAAATTAGTCATTTCTTGTTATGTGTTTTTGGTAATTAAAAAAAAAAAAAATTGTGATTATCAACCCTAAATGTATTATATAAAATCTATAATCTAACTTTTGTTGACTTTATAGATATTGATAATTTCTTTAAGCAAATCACAGACAATAATTTGAAATTGCACCCTGGAGAAACATGCTGTATGTTGTGTTATCGCTGGCTCCCCTCAGCCCCCCCAGCTGTTGCACCGAAGTGACAGATTCAGCCCAGATAGTTGGGCTTACAGCCAGACCTACATGTACACAAGACCAGTTGTACCACACCTTTATGGAATTGCTTCTATCACCATAAACCAACATCTAAATTGCAAAATCTCCACCACATTTGGCCATAACATAGAATCTAAACACACCTATGTGACATGCCTTAAACATGATGTCATGACTCAAACCAGGCAGAGGCACAAGAAGTTTCACAACTTTTACTGTAAACTCTTAAATTGTTGTGCACACCAATGGATTTTTTGGGGCTGTGTAATCATTTTTTAAAATTCTGCTGAATACTACTCCAATATCTGATTAGTGGACATCAACAGGAGTCCACCGATAACACATTTGGCATATAGAAAGATGCAGGCCTATTCTAGAAATCTAACCAGCTGAGCATGCTTAAAAAACAATCTATTGTTAGCAGAATTATATGTGGTTGGTGTGCAGCTTCCGTATTGCATCACCCATATGTCAGTATGTTAGTATCAGGAGCATACACAACTTTTAATAATATTTATAACACTTCTAGCAATGTTTCATGTTCAATATGCATGCAAGGTAACGTGAAGCCGAAAACAATGAGAAAACATATGAAGACCACAACTCATAACAACAATCAATTCTTCTAGAGATAAATCTGCATAATGATAACAGAACGGGCTTTTTTCCTTCGTATGGCTTGTAATTACATTGCTCGATCACAAACACACATAACTTTTCCTAAGAAAACAAGCAAACAAAAAAAAAGGAAAAAATTCCTGACGTTCCAAGGTGTATATACACAATCTTTCCAAAAATATCTCGCCGGTAATATCTAAAAAAGTATATTCTCTTTGTTCACGGTCTTTCTCTTGACTCCCTGATTTTCCGGCCATAGAAACGTACCTGATTCCATACTGCAGAAAAATTTACTTCGAGGCAAGGTCTCTCGGCAAAGCCTTGCTCCAACGTCTCTTCCTTGCTCACTGTAAACACAAAATGCGCATCTTTGTAAATTCACGCTGAGACAAAAACAATTAAAAACAACTATCTTTGATTATGTGCTTACAACTTCTTATAAAATGTATTATTTTTCCTTTTCTGATAGCTTTTGTTTGTAATTTTCTGTACGAATGTTGTGAAATTGGAGATATTACATATTCTAATAGTAGCAAAAGATTGCGTACCTACGCACAACGAACGTAAAAAAATAAAACCGCATCATTTAACTCACTCATGTTGGCTTCTTGATCGTATGTATGATAACCAGCACCTAAATATTACAACTGTACAAAAATGTCATGCGAATTTTTACATAAGGTGTTAATGCTAAATTTTCTTCTGACTGAAGTATTGCGATAAAAAAAAAATAATAAGCCTTTCATTTTTCCATTTCCCGCACCTCTGGACGCGATATAATACGGACCAACCCAAACACACAACAAACACACACACACACACACACACACACACACACACACACACACACACACACACACACACACACACACACACACACACACACACACACACACACACACACACACACACACACACCACACACACACACACACACCACACAACACACACACACACACACACACACACACACACAACACACACACACACCACCACACACACACACCACACACACNACCACCACACACAACACACACCACCACACACAACACACACACACACACAAGCACTAGCCGATGACTGAGAAGAGACAGCCGCAGGAGAAAAGAGAGACGAGAGAGAGAGAGAGAGAGAGAGAGAGAAAAGAGGGAGGGGGAGAGGAGGGATGACGGAGAGAGAGAGAGATGGGAAAAAGAGAAGAGAAGAGAGTAGAGAGGGAGAGGCAGTCACGAGGTCAATGGTCCGGGAGGGAAGAAAAGAGAACAGAGGAGAAGGAGGAGAAGGAGAAGGAGAAGGAGAAGGGAGAAGGAGAGGGGAGAAGGGAGAGGAGAGAAAGGGGTGAGAGGGACGAGGAAGAGGAGAGAGGAGAGAGAGAGAGAGAGAGAGGAGAGAGAGAGGAGAGAGACGGAGAGAGAAGACGAGAGGATGAGAAGACGAATCGAAGAGAATGAAGTAGAAGAGCGAGGAAGAGAGGCAAGAATTATAAATGGGAAAAAAAAGAAAAAAAAAAAAAAGAAAATGAAAAAGAAAATAATAACATACATTGTATAAACAGAAAGCGACAAGAGAGGACGAGAGATGAGAGAGACTGAGGAGAGAAGAGATGAGAGAAAGAGAAAGAGATTGAGAGGATGCAGATGAGAGGGAGGAGAGGAGAGATGAGAGACGAGAGAGGAGAGATGGAGAGAGAGAGAGATGAAGAGGAGAAAGAGAGAGAGGAGAGACGAGAGAGAGAGAGAGAGAAGAGAGAGACGAGAGAGAGAAGAGAGGTGGAGGGCGTTAGTAACGTAGAAGGCATAGGAGCAGCATTTCTTCTCTCGCTCATGTGACAGCCAGCCATACCCAGTTACGCCTCCTCCAGGTACACATCGCCGGACAATTAAGAACATTTCAGAGAACAGGTAATGAACATTTTTGCCTCTCATGGATTATGAAAGAAGAAAAAAAGGATTGTGGCGTTCGAGTGTGTTGTCAGGGTGAAGAATAGTTGTTATATTTCCTTTTTAAACTTATTTAAAGTCCATAATAGTATTTTGTTACTTCGATTCCCAAATTGCAATCGGTTGATTTTGATTAATATTTCTCATTAAGATAAGGAATACAGCCCGATGTTTTTTTTTTCGTGATTATAGGAGAATTGGAGCAAATTTCTTTATTTTAGAAGTGATGAGAAGAGTGAAGGAGAAAGATAGAAAAGAAAATCCAGAAAATTAAGTAGTAACAACTTGTGTTCGAGTCTGTGAAGGTGTTTCCACATTATTACTCTTTTTTGGCTTTAAACACCACTTAAATCCTGTAATAAACCTTTAAAGAAAAGAGTTAGACAAGTCTCACGTCCAGAAGACACCCATGCACATGCCACTAGCCTGTCTTTCCAGAATTTACATATTAGACAAGTGTTGGCCTTTGCCGTGTCGCCGAACCTGCTGAGGCCGCGGCGATCGCTTGACTAACAGATAACGGAACAGCTGATCACGGGGAAATATTTTGTGGGAAACTTATGATGTGAAACTTAATATATATGTATATATATATGTATAAATGTATGTATATATATGTATACATATATATGTATATATATGTATATATATGTATATATATGTATATATATGTGTATATATATATGTATATATATGTATTATATTATTATATATATGTATATATATATATATATATATATATGTATATATATATATGTATATATATGTATATATATATATATATATATATATATGTATATATATGTATATATGTATGTATATATTATGTTATATGTATGTATATATTATATGTGTTATATATATGTTGTATATATGTGTATATATAAATGGTATATATATGTATATATATGTGATATATATGTATATATATATGTATATATATG